ATTATGAAGAGATAAGTTTGTATACTTTTTGGCGAGGAAGAGATGCAGGATTTTTTTAGAAGTAAGCCACTATTTATATATATATACAAAATTTAGTAGCATAGTATTCTAACTTTTAACTAAGATAATTTAAAGGTTTTAAACAGATGCCAGAAACTTAGTTATGTTTATTTATCTGTTTTTATTTTTCCTAATACACTTTTAAAAATGAAAGTTTTCGGAATTAACAGGGTTTCGATTACGTCGTAAAAGTGTCTAACAATTTTATAATTTAAAACATAACATTAAATATAATTTAAGTTGAAACTATTAAAACGTTGCATTTAAATCAAAATAAAATTAAATACATATCTTTTATATTTAATAAGTGAAAATGTTTAAAAAATATTTAGTATATGTTAGATGTCCAAGAGATATGTATATATATATATATATATATATATATATATATATATATATATATATATATATATATATATATATATATATATATATATATATATATATGTATATATGTATATATATATATATATATATATATATATATATATATATATATATATATATATATATATATATATATATGTATATATGTATATATATATATATATATATATATATATACATATATATAAATATATATATATATATATAAATATATATATATATATATATATATATATATATATATATATATATATATAATTATATATTTAAATGCATAATAATTACGTAACTAATTAATGTCTATATATATTAGTTTATACTCTATATACTTTTTTTTAACCTCCGCAATAGCATTAATATTATCTACAGGACCATCAGGTAATGTGTTTTGCATACTTATGCAGTTTTATGAGTGTTATATGTATTGAAATTTAAAGATCACATATCTTAATTTACACATTATTTTATTTGTTTATTTTTTTGTCTCGATAATAGCACCTCAATCAACATCATCAGGTAATCTGTTTTCCATACTTATACAGTTTTATGCATTTTTAATTTCTAATGAAAATTTAAGATTACATATCTTAAACTACACTTACATTATTTATTTATTTTTGTCTCTACATAAGTACCTCAAGCAGCAACAACAGGTAGTGTGTATCTCAAGCAACAACAACAGGTAGTGTGTTTTACATACTTATACAGTTTTATGTTTTTTTAATGTCTATTAAAACTTATCATCCCCACGGCCATCGGGTAATCTGTTTTGCATAGTTATACAGTTTTATGAGTGTTATGTGTATTGAAACTTGAACATTACTTTAATTGTTGTTTGTATGCAGTTACATAACTGTTTAATATATGTTATTTTATAAATATATATATATATATTTTTTTTTTTACCTCCACAGTAGTATCACTATCATCCCCACAACCATCAGGTAATGTGTTTGCATATTTATGCAGTTTTATGAGTGTTATGTGTATTTCAAATTAAACATCACGTCTCTTAGTTTACACATTACTTTATTTATTTTTTTGTCTACATTAGCACCTCAAGCAACAACATCAGGTAATCTGTTTTGCATACTTATATAGTTTTATAAGTGTTATGTGTATTGAAACTTGAACATTACCGTATTTGTTGTTTGTATGCAATTAAATAACTATGTAATATATTTTACTTTATACACTTTTTTTTTACCTCCACATTTTACCTCTACATTAGCACCTCAAGCATCAACATCAGGTAATCTGTTTTGCATACTTATGCAGTTTTATGAGTTTTATGTGTATTGGAATTTAAACATTACTTTTTTTTGGATGTTTGTATGCAATTACACAACTGTTTAATATACGTTAGTTTATATCCTTTTTTTAATACTTCCTCAATAGGATCAATATCATCAGCAAGACCATCAGGTATTGTGCTTTGCATACATAAATAGTTTTATAAGTGCTATGTGTATTGAAACTTAAACATTACTTATGCTACATTTTTTCGTAAAAGCTTTTTTTTTTTTAAAGTCTGATTTTAAATAATATGTTATTAGTTGTTATATGCAGTATAATTTTAAATTTATTTATTTTTTAATTTTTTTTTAGCAACTTGGGAGGGTTTTGCTGCATACCGTTCCCAGCACCCCGGCCCAATTTCTCAAAGAGCCTTCTTCCGGTGGTGCCAGTACGGAGAAGATGATCCTTCCCTTAGATGGAGGAGACTGACCCCATATGGCCTTACCGGTAGGAGAAGGGTTGCTGGGAGGCGTTCCAATACTGTTAATTTTTATCAATAGTTTTTCTTTTTTTTCATAAATTTTTTATTAGAAAAATACTTACTTTTTAAAAAAATTGGTATTTTTTAGATTTGAATTTTGCCAGTGTTTTTATTTATTTTTATTATTTTGTTTTTTAGCGTTTCACTTTTTTGTTTTACATTATTTGATTTTAATGTTTTTAAACCTAAACTTACAAAAGAACTTTTATGTGATAAAAGTTTTCAATATTAATGTATTTTACTAAGTTTTTAATATTTATATATTTTCAATATATAAAAATTTTCAATCTACAAATTTTTTCATTAAAATATGTTTTATGTCTTTTTACATTTATTAATATTATTATTGTTATAATAATTACTAAATTTAATTTTTATAAATTTTATTTGCTAAGTGTTAAATAGTTTTTGAAAGATTTCTTGATAGTCAATGATAAATGCATTTAAAGTTTCTTTTATTCTATTTTATCTGTTTAATATGCCTAATTTATGCACTATTTACCTATTAATCTTTTTACATTTTTCTTTTTAGATTTATATTATAAAAAAGTATTAAAAATCAGATTTCAGCCACATCTGGTCTATATAATGTAACATGTTTGCAATAGTTGGCATACTATTTTTAAGTTGAAACTAATTTTACTCTTTAATTTTAGTCATTAATAGCTTAAAATGATTTTTAAAACAATAAAAATTAAAATTTGATTGAAAAAATATTGTTTTACTACTTACAATATAGTACTTAGTGTGTTTAACTTCAGGGTTTTTCTCCGTTTTGAACCAGTTTAGTTATGACTTTTGTTCATAATTTGTTATTAGACGCTATAAACATAATATTATAAAGTTAAAATTAATAGATAGCACTTAATTCTGTTTGTCTATTTTAGATAAGTATAGCAATAAATAAATTAAATAAAGTTTTATCAAACATTTACAATTTCTCAATTATGTCAAGTAATTTAAGAGCTGAAAATAGAAGAAATTGTTGGAATGAGAGAAAAGAGGCTAGACGAGAAGAAATTAATCGTGGGCAAAATGAAAGGAATGAGGTTAGACGAGAAGAAATTAATTGTCGCCAAAATGAAAGTAATGAGGCTAGACGTGCAGAAGTGATTAGTTGCCAAAATGAAAAGAACGAGGCTAGACGTGCAGAAGTAAATCGTTGCCAAAATGAAAGGAATGAACCTAGACGTGCAGACGATGAACTATCGTTGCCAAAATGAAAGAAATGATTCTAGACTATTAATTAGGCGTGTAATGTATTGTATAGCAAGAAATAATATTTTTATAGAGAGTAATTACCATGGAGAAATGAACCATAACTTTCAGTATTGTGGTGCTAAAAAGTTTTTAAATGAAACGCATTTTTTCTGCTGCCGTTCAGGAAAAGTTGTCTTACCTCCACTTTCATCTTCACATCCACCACCGATGCTTGATATAATGACAGGCAACCATGTTGATCATGCTTTGAATAAAAAATTTTTTAAGGACTTACAAAATTATAACCTCTGTCTATCTTTTGCTTCATTCTTAGCCACAATAGCTACTCCGTCAAATCGTGGTCCACCCTGTTTTAAGATTTTTGGACAAATTATACACCGTGTTGGTAATCTGAAACCTAATCTAGGTGTTCCACCTGCATATGGTCAGTTATATGTTTATGATCCTAATACTGCTTTAAACTTTTGAATGGAGCAAAATGATTATTGCATACGTGAGTTAATGAAACATCTGCAACGTGAGTTAATGGAACTATAACTAATACGAAGAACCCATTAGTGCTTGCATTTAAAAACATGGCAGAAGTTGAAGATGCAGAAATTCGTCAAGCTGCTATAGAAGGTCGACCAATTTCTGTTGTGAAAATGTCATTGCTTGAGGGTGGTGATAGACGTCGATACAATCTTCCTTCACATGAGGAAGTTACCATTGTGTTTGTAGGAAATGATGGTGCTCCACCTCCATCTAGAGAATTTGTTATTTATCCTTAAGGTCAACCCTTAAAAACAATTCTAAGTATATCTGCAAATCTAAATCCAATGATATATTCAACATATTTTCCAAGAGGTGACGCAGGATGGCATGATCAACTAGAGCACAATCCTGACCGAGCAACACGTGTTAGAAATCATGTCTCAGCTTCAAAAGCTTTTTCAACAGTATGCTGTTGATGAATATGTCAAGATTGAAGGACAGCGCTTTGCTTTTGTCAGAAATAACCAAAACAAACTTAGAAGTGAACAGTACGACGCATTACATGAGTATGTAAATAAGACTGCAAAAACCTTAATGTAAGAGTGAGTCGTGTTGTTATACTACCATCCTTATATGCTGGAAGTCCAAGAAAATTTTTTTAAAGAAAATTTTGAAGATGCAATGGCAATTATAAAAAAATATAACTAACCAGATTTTTTTATTACTTTTACTTGTAATCTAAAATGGAGAGATTACAAAAAATTTAAATCCAGGTGAGATTGCAACTGACATGTCTGATTTAGTTTGTCGCGTATTTAAGATGAAAACTTAAATGCTTTTTTAAGATGAAACTTAAATGCTTCTTAGATGATATTATAAAACATGAAGTCTTAGGCAAAGTCGTAAGTCATGTACAGGTTATTGAGTTTCAAAAACGTGGTTTGCCACATGTACATATTTTACTACACTTTGTAAATGATGACAAGCTAGAAACTGCAGAGGATATTGATAGTTTAATATCAGCTGAAATTCCAGATCAAACTGTTGATCCTGAACTTTTTGAAATTGTAAAACGTGTATGATTCATGGAACATGTGGGATTTTAAATCCCAATTCTCCTTGCATGAAAGATGAAATATGCACACAAAAATTTCCTAAAGAGTTTAATCCTCGTACTGTTGCAATTTTTAATGGTTATCCTAACTACATGCGCTTAGATGTTGGTAGAGTAATCATTATAAAGGTTAACCAAGTTTATAATCAATGGGTTGTACCCTATATCCCTATATATACCCTGGTTATCAAAAAAATACCAAGCCCACATTAATTTTGAAGCTTGCATGTCTATTAAGTCAGTGAAGTGTTTATACAAATATGTCTATAAGGGGCATGATTGTTTTAATGTGGTAATTAATGAAAGTGTTAACCATCATGAGATTAACACATATTTAGACTGTCGCTTTGTCTCCGCACCCGAGGCTCTTCGGAGAATATATGAGTATTCCATAAGTGGTTTGTCACATACTATTATCCGCCTTCAAGTCCACCTTTCTAATCATAATCAGAAAGTATATTTTAACGAAGGAGAAGAACAAGTAACTATAGATTGTGCATCACAGCGCGAAACTCAATTAACTGCTTGGTTTAAGTTGGTTTAAGTATTCTTATGTTGAAATTCCATATCACTTTGCTTTTGGTAAAAATTGCAAGTGGAAAGTAAGACAAAGAGGTAGTGATAAGGTGATTGTTCGAATGTATAAAGTCAGTTCATTTGACAAATTATTTTTTTTCAGATTGTTACTTTTTTATGTAAAAGGTGCAAAGTCTTTTGAGGATTTGCGTATTGTTCATGGTACTGTTTTTTATACATTTCGTGAAGAATGTTATCATTTAGGTGTATTTCAAGATGACATTGAGTGGAGAAATACATTAACTGAAGCTGTTGCAACTTGGATGTGTTGTAACTAATGTGGGCTTGGTATTTTTTTGATAACCAGGGTATATATAGGGATATAGGGTACAACCCATCGATTATCAACTTGGTTAACTTTTATAATGATTACTCTACCAACATCTAAGCGCATGTAGTTAGGATAACCATTAAAAATTGCAACAGTACGAGGATTAAACTCTGATGCCTAAACAAATTAGGCTACTGTTTTCTATCATATTAACTTTATGTGAACCTGATGATCCTTTACACCTTTGGAATACATTTAAAGATTATATGATCGAGGATTAGATGCGCCATTTAATTCCAGTCGTACTTGCTGAACGGGCAGCTCTACGACAAATTAAATTTATAATTAATTAGAGAGGTAAAAACTTAGCTGATTATAATTTGCCTGCTTCAGATCAGTTTTTAGATAATGTCCCAGAAAATGATGATGAAGATGTTTAGGTGTTTAATGATGAAGCAAACCGAGTTAGACCGTTATTGAATGATAACCAGCGTAATGTAGCTGATGCAATCCTTGCTGCACTAGGTGAAGAACTTACTAATGAAAATAAGCATTCAAGATTGTTTTTTATGGATGGGCATACCGGTTTTGGTAAAACATTTACTTACAATTATTTATTTGCTGAAACACGGAGTATGCATATTAGAACTGCAACAGCTGCATGGACAGGAATAGCTGCAACTCTTCTCAAAAACGGCTGCACATTGCATTAAAACTTCCTGTTTTAACTTTGGAAACTAGCAAATGTAATGTAAATCCAAACTCTACTCATGGTAGATTTCTGAGAAAAATCAGTTTGTATTTACTTGATGAAGCATCTATGATACCCAAATATGCTTTGAGTGCCTTTGATAAGTTGTTACAAGATATTTGTAGTAACAACTTTTCTTTTGGTGGTAAAGTTATTCTTATGGGTGGAGACTTCAGACAAATACTTCCAGTTGTGAAGCGAGGTCGATCAGCAGAAGTTATAGAATCATGTTTAAAATGTTCTGAACATTGGCAATATGGGCAAAGGTTCTCATTAACTGTAAATATGAGGGTTCAGATAGAAGAAGAGGAATTTTCTCAATGGCTTTTAAAGCTTGGAAGTGGAACATTACCTGTCAAGCCTGAAGATCCTTTGAAAGGGTGTATTAAAATACCTGAGCAGTGCTTTCTCAGTGATAAGGAATCTATTCTGGAGAAGATTTTTGGTGGTGCAGAAGAGGCTAATTATGCAAAACGTACTTTTTTAACGCCAACAAATGTTGGTTCATTGCCAATAAATGAAGAAGTTCTTCATCGTTTACCCGGTGATGTGAAAACATATTTAAGTTCAGATAGCATTGAAACTGATGATCATAATGAAATTAATAACTTTCAAGTCGAGTTTTTAAATAGTTTGACTCCATCAAGTATGCCTGTTAATCGCCTAAAATTGAAAATTGGTGCTGTTATAATGCTACTTAAAAATTTAGATATTAAAGGTGGACATTGTAATGGAACCCATTTGATGGTGTATGCACTACACAACATTTACATTGATGGTGAGGTTTTAACAGGTGTATCAGCTGGTAACAGGGTATATGTTCCTCGAGTTCAATTAGCTCCATCAGATGCAAATTTACCTTTACACTTAAACGTCATCAGTGTCCAGTTAGGTTAGCATACTCAATGACCATAAATAAAAGTCAAGGTCAAACATTTGAAAAGGTTGGTATTTATCTCAAAAAGTCATACTTTTCACACAGCCAATTATATGTTGCATGTTCAAGAACAAGATCGTTTAATAGTTTTTTAAAGTTGATAAACATCCAATACAAGGTATGTCATTTAACAAAAATTACACAAATACTGTTTTCTTTAAAAATGTTTTTAATTTATAATACTTACAAGTATATTATGTGTTATATGTGTTTTTTATTTTATGTATGTTTTTTTTTTTTTTTTTTTTTTTTTTGCTATGTGTATATAAATGTATGTGTTTATATACGTTTATATATCTTTATTTATGTGCTTATATTTATATAAGTTTATATTAAGTTTTTATTCCATCTGAAAAATATTTTCATGTGTTACGTGGCAACGTGTAGTGCAAGATTGTGATCATTGCCAGCCAAGCAGTGTTACTAATTAGTGGTGTTACTTGGCACTTAATGCCAAGCGGTGTTACTAAATTGTGGTGTTACTTGGAAGCGTTTAGTGCCAAGCGGTGTTACAAGTGTTGAGCTAGGTTGTGTTGTCTAGCTTTTTTAATTATTCTGGAGACACTTAATCTGAATAGTTTGTGTTATGTGTACTTACAAATATTTTTTGCTATGTGTATTCAATTGCATAGGCAGGATATTTTGATGCTTTAGATAGCACTTTCAACCAAACTTAAGTGTGTTCACGTTTATCGAATTAAAATACAAGAAAAATTGATTTTGTTAGAGCTTAGGAACAAATATGTTTAAAAAAAGTTTTTTCCTACCCTAAATTTTTTTAGACATAAACTAAACTAAAGTTAAATTCTTCAACAGGTTTTAAATATTAATCTGAAGCAACAAAAATTATCCTGCCTACACTACTGATGTTATTGTTTGTCATCCTGTAACGTCTTTGTGATGTTTTGTGTTGATTGACAGCTTACTTTTACGTTGGTGTCCCAGATAACATGAACACGTTGGCCCGACGTCGGGCCAACGTGTTCATAACGTTGTTTATAACAGTGTTCATAACGTGTTTTATAACAGCTAGAAAAACTCAATAAATGAGTAAACAAAGCGCAGAAAACCACAATTAAATATTATTTTTGTTTTTTTGTTGCAAAAACTCACTTCTATACTTAATAAATAACGTACACAACTAAAATATTTAAACATAGTATTTATGGCTAAAATAAATAGTTGGTAAAAAATGCTACTTAAGGTCTGCATTTTTAGTCAAAACTTTAAAAGAAAAATTCTTGGCAAACTTTTGATCAAAATACTTAATTTATTACTTTTCTTTTTAATTACGTTTTTATTAAGATTACATATACGTTTTTGTAGTTGTTGTTTTTTTTTACGTTTTTTTACTTTTTTTTACGTTTTAAGCATTGTAATATAAAATGAAAGTGAACAATTTTGTTATTTTTTACATTTTTATGTTTGTTTTTTTTTTTTTTGTTGCGTTGTTTTTATTACATTTTTCTATTATGTTTAAGCATTGCAAGTATTAGATATGGAAGTGAACCAAGTATTAGATATGGAAGTATTAGATATGGAAGTGAACCACGCTCAAAAATTTTGCTTGCATTTGTTAAAAATCTTTTACTTGATTTACAAAACAGTTATTTATATTTTTAAAGGTCTTTTTTTTATTTAACGACGCTATGGTAATTTGCTTAAATATCGCGTACTTTTGAAAACAAAATGTTTGTTATAAAAGTTAGTGATAAAAGTATTAACATATTGAAACAGTTTGGATTACGACAAAAAGTAGTTAAACAGCATTGAAACAGTTTGTATCACGCAAAACAAACTGTTTCAAAAACAAAAACAAATCATAAGTTTCTTGAAATGTTTTTTATACAATTTATTTTACAGACGTGAGGCAGACAAAGTTTTTTGGAGTTTTTTTCGAAAGAAATATACACATAGATACTTTTTGGAAAGAAGAAACGCTAATCTTGATTTTTTTAAAATTTTTAAGTATGGTTCCTAACTTTTTTATGGAACATTTTGCTCATGAATATTACGTTGATGTTCTCATATGAATTTGTGGTCGAAGAAATGTAGAGTCAGCTTTTTTTACTATTTAAATAGTTTGTTTCGTGCATTTCCTATGCACATGCCAAATTTCAATGAAAAAAAAACCAATTTGTTTAATTATTGTTATACCAAGTATACCACTTTTTTAGCTAGCTTAAGGCATACTGTTTGTAAGGTAGTTCTTTTTAAAAACATGTATAAACCTTGACATCTTTTAAAAAGGAGAAAGGCTAGGCTTGATTTTTATATAATTTTTGTATATTGCTACCGTACTTTTTTATAGATTATTTTGCTGAAAAATTTGCATGAAAATTTGGTTGATGTTGTCACATGAATTTGTAGTTGAAGAAATGTAGAGTCCTTTTTTTTCATTATTAAAATAGTTTGCTTCATGCATTTTCTATGAGCTTGCCAAATTTCGACGAAAAATAATTATAAGCAATTAGTCTAATTAGTGTTGCACTTTAGGTACCTAATTTCGGTTTTTCTGTTTGGTTTTTTTGGTAAGCGAAACCCAAATGGGGCCAAAACAAGGGTAAATGGGCAATGTTTAATTAAAATTTATTAGACATGGTTTTTTAAATTAAATATATATATATATATATATATATATATATTATATATATATATATATATATATATATATATATATATATATATATATATATATATACATATATATATATGTATATATATATATATATATGTATATATATATATATATATATATATATATATATATATATATACTATATATATATATATATATATATATATATATATATATATATATATATATATATATATATATATATATATATATATTTATATATATATATATATATATATACCATACTTTTAAAATTTGTAAATGTTTTTCAAAGTAAATTATTTATTTAGGTTAGTTATCTTGGTGTCATTGGTGGTGCCAGCATTAAAGTTATGACAAAAAGAGTATTAACAGCTTTGATAACTAATGTTTTAGCTAGTAAATTAACTTTTATGTTACATATGGAAAAACATGCCTTTTCAGTCCTTCTGATAAAAAAAAATTGTCAATGGTAATTATGAATCTCACTTTTTATGCAATTTAAAGAAATGCCTGATGGATAATTTTTTATACCATTTTTTATAAATTTAAATATATGCATGATGCTTTAATTTATGTTTCAACCTCCAAAACTTTATCGACCGTCCTATTGTCTAGATGTTTTGAAAATTGAAATAATAAATTTAAAAGATTATGCTGCAATGACTGTTTTATATAGATATATATATATATTTTTTAATGTTGATTTTAGGTGCCCCAAGAAGTCCTTACGGTCTTTTCACAGAGCACCGCGGAAGAGCATTTAATAGGAAGTTCACGCCTCCTTTCCAACTGATGTCGCAAAACTTGCCCAGAGGTATGGGGTATGAACCACAGATCTTACGTTTCTGAGGTGGTTTATATTGATTGCTTGTTTAACCAATTTTCGATACTTATGGCGAAAAACTATATTTGTTAAATGTAACAAGACACTTTATGAAATTTATTAATAAATTTAAATTTTCTTTTGTTTCATTAGATGCAGTTCTACACAGTCCGTTGACAAAAAAAGCAGCAGTTGCTGAAGTCAAAGACGTGGTTTTGTGAAAAATAGTTTCCTCAAGAAACGCTCTTTATGCACTAATCTTTTAGAATCTGGTAATGATTCGAGTACTGCACTAGACAATAATCTAACAACAGATGTTGTTTATATCGACTTTCAAAAAGCATTCGATTCTGTATCACACCCTAAATTGTTAGCCGAACTAGCTTTATTTAACATAAGAAGTAATTTAAATTAACAATAAGAGTCAACAAGTTAAGGTTGGAACTTCATTATCAAACCCAACTTGCATCGTTGGCGAGTAAAGCATGATTTATCAATATGCTACAAAATTCTGCATAACTTGGTCATAATTGATAAATCTAGGTTCTTTCTTTTGGACAACAAAAACAACATTCGGGGACATAAGTATAAATTGCACAAAAAACATTGTTGACTAGATATTCGCAAATATCTAGTCAACAATGTAAAAAATATTAGTTTTTCTTACCGAGTTGTCAACATTTGGAATCAGTTGCCTGTCGATGTTGTTAATGCCGATAATATCAACATCTTTAAGAAGAAAATTAGCTCAATCATTTTTGATAAGTTTTGTCGGCGTTAATAATTTATTTATTCAATGTTGTACGCTGTTACATAATTTATTTATTTTTACTTTTTTTTTTTTTTGGGTGGGCACGCTGTTAGTGTCCATCAATATGAACCTGCGTGTCCTTTAGAGCATGTATATTATCTGTTCTAATAAATACAAATACATTATATATATATATATATATATATATATATATATATATATATATATATATATATATATATATATATATATATATATATATATATATATATATATATACATATATATAGATATATATATATATATATAGATATATATATATATATATATACATTATTGACCTTCACACACACATATGCACACACACACACACACACACACACACACAAACTTGCATATAAATTTATTTCAAGATAATAATTTTGCAATAAAAAAGTTTTTTTTTATAATGTCTTTTATCTTATAAAGCATTTTATTTTATGCAATAGTTTAATGCAATGTTATAGGTAATAAACAATTCAATAAGTTAAACTAGATCTGCTACATTACGTTTTATATCAGATATATTGAAATCTTTCAACACATTTCACAACTCCTACTTCTAAACTTAAAAGCTAATAGAATAAATGACTAACTCTACAATTGGATTATAATGTTACCTTAGAGATTGGCCTTAGAGTATCATTATTGGTAGTACATACTCAGAATGGATAATAGTAATTAGTGGGGTCCCCCATTATTTACTTTTATGATATATAATAAAGATTTTTCTAATTTGGTTATAGATGTTGTATCTGTATTTACAGATGATACTAAATCATACAGTTTGCTTTTTGATAGCTCACCATGCACTAACCTGCAATAAAGTATGGACATTATGGCAAACTCGGCAAAACTATGAAAACTAAGTTTTAATGTAAAAAAATGTAATTTTTAAATTTTATTGTAAATTTTACAATAAAACTAAGTTTTAATGTGAAAACATTTATGCCCTTAGGACCAACAAATACAAAATTCATTTATATACTCATTGATAAATATCTCAATACCTCAATTAATATTAAAAACTCTCTTGTCAATAAAGGGATCTTCATTGACAGTAATTTAACTTTTGTTTTGTAAGTACTAAGAATAACACCGCCAATAAAGTTGTAGGAATGTATGTAATATTCGTCCTCACATTGATTCTTGCAGCTCTGTCTACTATCCTAGACTTTAAAAAGATCAACAATTAGTTTAAAATGGTCTATGCTAGTCTAGTAAATTTGTTTTTGGCCCGACTGGACTCACTTACAACCAAAGACTACTGAGATTAAATTTAACTAGCATGTCGTTTCTTATGTAATGACATGGCAAAAACTTATAAATGCATTAAAAATAATTGTAGTTGCAACTCTTTTGTTTCCTCATAAAATACCATTAAGTATTTTATCTATCAACACCTGTGTCAGAATGATGTCATCTGCATTTATATTTACTGCATTTATTTATATTACATTTATTATTACATTATACAGCCGTTATATTTATTATTGTAATTACATTAAGGATTTAATCTGGATTGCATGCGTGTTAATATAGCCACTTCTTAATATTAATATATGACTAGCAGTAAGCAACCCGTAATACGGGTTTTTAGTAAATAAATCATCACTAACAATTTGATATTTGTTTACTTTCTCTAATAAAATATAAATTTATTTATACAGTAAGCAATTCGTAATACGGGTTAGTAGTAAATAAATCATTACTAACAATTTGATATTTATTTACTTTCTCTAATAAAATATAAATTTATTTATACAGTAAGCAACCAGTAATATGGGTTAGTAGTAAATAAATCATTACTAACAATTTGATATTTATTTACTTTCTCTAATAAAATATAAACTTATTTATACAGTAAGCAACCCGTAATACGGGTTAGTAGTAAATAAATCATTACTAACAATTTGATCTTTATTTATTATCTTAATATATTATTATTTATGAAATATAAATTTATTTATACATTTTTTTAGTTGTGCTCACTTTAATTTTACTTGGCTTCTTAGTTTAAGAGAACTCTTAGTTTCATTAAAGATAAAGTTAACCATGTTCAGACATTGAATGCGCAAATCACAACCATGTAGTAGTTAAAAATGACTTGAATTATATGCACAGAACATCGATGTCAAGTTTTCAAATTCCTTAATATTGTTTAGGCAAATATTGGGAATATATTTTACTCTTAATTTTGCTTTAAGCTGAGTGGTTCCTTTTTTTTTAAACTTTTCATTTTACTGAGTGAAGAGCTTAAAAATATGTCACTATCGCACCTAAACTTTTCAATATTTTTAATATACTTTTTAAATATTTTTAAATCATCTAAAATATTATACCCAAACTTGTAGGCATAGAAGTTGGATATCCGGAAAAACTATAAGTTGAAAAATATATCGCATTTTCGGAAAGCGCTTAGCCCTGCATACTGATCCTATATTATTATATAATAAAGAGATTATTACTATACCAACCTTTTTTTTAATTAGTAGTCCAGCAGAAACTTGTTTATAAAAAAACAATAAATGAATATATCGATATAAATTATAGCTAACGTATATCAACTTATTTATTTCAGCATACATTCAATTCATATGTATACTAATTTTATAAAATGTCCGGAATACATTTTGCCTTAACATGGCGTTAAATTATTAGTATTGTTGTATAGATCAATATTTATTTATTATATAGGTTAATAAAAAAAGCAATTGGAATTTACTCAATATTTTTAAAGTAATTATTCAGCTTTGATAAAATCGACACAACTATATAAAACAGTTAAAAAATATATTTAAACCTTTGTTCACTTTTTGAAAATCCGTAAAAAAGCAAGTATCAAGTTTTCATATCTTTAAAAGAAATTTATTTACATGATATAAAGTTAAATATGTAACAAAAATATTTTAAAACAGATTTTTCTTAAAACACATTTTTTTAAAAAAAATAAAGTTGAAGCCACCATTTACAGCGCCGAGGAGCATAGCCTATTGTAAAGAAAACGATATAAAATAATTTAAAATATTTATTACCGATAGGGACGACAATTAAACATATTTAAAAAGCTACGTGATTCCATATAAGTAAGATTGCTATAGAAAAGTATATTAAAAAAGTATATTTAAAAAGTATATTTTAAAAAAATCCCTCCAAGATGCTGCTTCTTTTGCCTGCAAAAGTAACAATCTAAGAAAAAATAATTCTCCTAACTTTGTACATTCTTACTATCACCTTATTTCCACCTCTTTTGTTTAACCTTACAATGTTTATCATCAAATACAAAGTGATATGGAATGTCAAAATATGGGTAGCGATGGGCTCGTTCATTTTCAGAATCACGTTGTATTGTATTGTATCACGTTGAGCAGCACTATCTAAAGCCACTTGTTCTTCTCCTTCTCTAAAATACACAATCTGATTCTCAGGCAGATGAACCTTAAGAAGGATAATAGTATTGCCTAACAAAAAGTCTATAATTGTAGAACTGAGATAATGTAACATGTTTTCTAACCAGTGTGGCACGCTCAAGGTTATGCACCAACTGATTATGCCAACCAGCATCACCTCTTGGGGAAAATAGCGGATAAACCATAGGATCCAAATTGCCTAACATACTTGATACAATTTTTAAAGGATGACCTCTTGGGTAAATAACAACTTTCCTGGAAGTTGGGGGAGCACTATCTTCGCCAACAAATATAACTGCAACCTCATCATGTGAAGGTAGATTATAACAACGCCTTCAAGTAAAGACATTTTTACAACAGAAGCTGAGTGACCTTTTAGTGCCGCTTGACGAATTTCTTCATCTTCTACTTCAGCCATGTCTTTAAATGCAAGAGCAAATGGACTTTGTTCAGTAATTATAGTTTGCAATTAAAACATTAAATCACCTAAAAAAAAATCATTACCACGTTGCTGCAATCTAAAATTTACTGCTGCAAGTGGATCATAAATATATAGTTGAGAATATTTTGTACCATGTACCTTGTACCATGAAAGGTTGCGACTTATTTAAGAGAGCACGCGGTTAAGAAAAGTCAAGAAACTACTTAAAAAGTGGATTTTACAAAAGTCAAAACCGTATCGTAACTATAAAACAATAGGCGTAACTATGCGCACTATTCATTAGAGTATTAATATTTAGATTATACATTTAGTTAGTATTTATTCCTCCATTATGACTAACTCGAACTTAACAACATGCAATCATGCTTATAAATTGAAAAAAATGTTTTGTAAGACAGATGTCCGGAAAAAACTTTTCTAATATGGAATTCACAAATTTTTAGTATAGTCTACCATCTGAAATAGTGTTCAACATTACAGTACGACATTAAAAAAACATCTAGATCTTGATCTGCATCTTGGGTTCATCAAATGTACAATTGCATATAAACAATTAGACGAACACAATTAGATACAATATAACAAAAGGTTGATAGGCTTTTTTGTATACCTAACTATTCTATTTGTAAAATTATAACCTTAGAAAATAGTAATAATAACAACATTAATAATAATGACAATATGTTATATCAAAACTCTTATAATTAAACATCGAATAATTAAAATTAATTAAACACTAAATAAGTTTTATGTTTATTTTTTTAGTGTTGTATATTAAAAACACTTTTCTTTAGTGTTCCATAACTGAGAAAAATATTCTATGCCTGGCTAACTCATTCAATTGAGCATGAGATTTTAATCTCATGCTAATTTGAACCTCGTAATCTTAGGGTAAATATTTACTTAGAGCCTCAAGTTGTTTAACTTTCTTAATGTCATATTTAAATAAGAAAATATTATCATAGAAACCTTTCTAAATCGCAAACTTTAAAATTTACTTTTTTTTTACTAACCAATAATTAAACTCTACTTGCAATAAAATGCGATTACATTAAACATTAAGAAATGAAACTCAATAGCTTTTAGACTAATATTTTCAGTTAAAAAAAAAATAATAATCTCAAAAAAGAAAGTTAATCTGAAGTTTTTTTATATCATAAATTTATTTGTGATTATTTTTTAGCTGATGTACCATTACACTGAAGGTGGTAATAAAATTTACAAAATTTGCTGAATTTTTCAATGAAAAAACAGTATGTGTGCCATGAATGTAATCTGTTTTTCATGGCGTATCAATGAAAGTTTGGTTTATTGGCCAAATCACTTGCTAGGATCTTGCCTTTAGGCTGCCATACATAAAGTCACGCTCTTAAAAAAAAAGTAACTGAAAGCAGCTGTAAATAAGAATTTTTTGGTAATTTTTATTTACAATATTGTTTTTGTTTCATTTACAGTATTGTCTTTGTTTTTTACCTAAAATGCTTGACTCAAATGTAGTAAATGTTGATTGTTCAGTATGGTTTCATCTCTTCTTTATACTTTATAAAGAAGAGATGAAACCATAGAATGCCTTAGAATTATCTGTGCCTCCAGCTTAAAAGGATGCAGGTTACAAAAAAAGTGACATTGATGAGATTGTAAACAATCTCATCAGTGTCACTTTTTGTAAACAATATCGCCCAATATTGTAAACAATATCGCCCCAATATTGCGCCAATTATGTTTGCTACTAGGGATATATCATATTATATTATATTATATTATATATGTTATCACTATTAATGTTGTTGCTTGATAAAATTAAACTGTTTTTTTTATTTAATGTTATTATTTAAATTATTTAAAAATCAAATGGCAAAAATTTGCTAAAGCATTCCATATAAAATGATGAAATTTACATTTAAATTGGTAGTTATTAATGTGATAAATCCATTAAGATGAGTTATCAAATTGTGAATATTGATACGCAAAATG